TGCGTGTGTGCGTGCGTGCGTGCGTGTGTGCGTGCGTGCGTGTGGGCGTGCGTGCGTGTGGGCGTGCGCATGTTTCTACACGTTTTGCGTGAGTGTGTGACAATGCAAAAGAAGAAAAGTAGGCAGACAGCAACAGAAACGCATATATTATAATGTATGCTCGTATATATACGATCAAACGTGCACGCACGTACATACACATGCACAAACGTGCACGCACGTACATACACATGCACAAACGTGCACGCACGTACATACACATGCACAAACGTGCACGCACGTACATACACATGCACAAACGTGCACGCACGTACATACACATGCACAAACGTGCACACACACGTACATACACATGCACAAACGTGCACGCACGTACATACACATGCACAAACGTGCACGCACGTACATACACATGCACAAACGTGCACGCACGTACATACACATGCACAAACGTGCACACACACGTACATACACATGCACAAACGTGCACGCACGTACATACACATGCACAAACGTGCACACACACGTACATACACATGCACAAACGTGCACGCATGTACATACACATGCACAAACGTGCACACACGCACATACACACATGGTCGCAAACAGCTAACCATTGATGCCGCTGACCAGCCGTTAACCATAGGAACCGTTGACACTCGCTCGCGCCCTATGATCGTATTTTTCCCCTGCAGGTGGCGTTGCGAAAGGCACAGTCGCACGCACACGAGGTGAGACGGGAAGCCAACCTGAAGAAGGAACTAGCCGAACGGAAGCAGAAGTAAGCAGCAGCCGTTGCCATGGACGCGCGGCGAGGCAGACGCCGCGCGTCCTGCTCGCGTCGAAATTCCGATTTTCGTCAAACTGTTACGGTCGAACCTGCGCATGATGGTCGCTTAAGAAAACCCTTCTAAAGGTGTCCTTTATAGAGAGGTGTCTGTTCTATACAGGTGTCCTTTATATACAGGTGTCCTTTATATACAAGTGTCTGTTCTATAGAGGTGTCTGTTCTATAGAGGTGTCCTTTATAGACAGGTGTCTCCGTTCTATAGAGGTGTCCTTTATAGACAGGTGTCTCCGTTCTATAGAGGTGTCCTTTATAGACAGGTGTCTCCGTTCTATAGAGGTGTCCTTTATAGACAGGTGTCTGTTCTGTAGAGG